ATAAACTTATCCAAAACGTGAGTAATCTTGCTTGGATGTTCATAAGACCACACGTGTCAGTGTGTACCGACTCCAATTGTCCTTTATGTCTATTTCTTCTGGCTGATTAAGCCCTAAGAGTTATCTATCCTTCAAAACAGGGTTCACAAGTTTGGTTTACGCTCCCCTACCTCACTAGGTAATTAACCTTCATTGACCAATCTTTGAATCTTATTTTGATTGATAACAACCCAAAAATAGACATTAAAAATACAATGAGTCAGGAATAACAATTTTTCTCTTAACATTCAATCTAGAAGATGTAACATTAGTTTTTACATCCTGCAAATCTTAAGAGTTTGTGATTATAGTATATTAACCATCTTTCAATGCACCAGAAGCAATAGCAAATCTATTCAATTTTATAAAACCAGTTTTACAAAATAACAACACAGTTTTTATAAACCACAAGTGAAACAAAAATTAGATTGCGTCTAACTTCTGTTCATAAAGACAGTTCTCTAATACTAATATCCTCATACTCTCTAATTTCAGATGTAATACTCCCACTGACCTAACTACAACCTTGGCATCAGGTCAAAAGATAAATATATATCCATATCATCAAGGCTTCTGGATTCCTGAAATCCTTACGATGAATTGCAAACATGTTTAGTGGCTCCAGAATCTATCCATCAAGAATTAATAGATGCAACCACTTAACATAGCTCAATGATTAAATATATATTTTCCTATGCCATGTCATTGCTTAGACAGTTCGTCCTATAGTGTTTTAGTTAACGGCAAAAGAAACAGTTTCATTCGCCCTCAATATACACTGCCTTATTCCCTTTAACCTTTTAGATACCTATGTTTTGTGCTAGCCTAGTCCTATTATCATCCTTCTTCTTTGCTTTGCCCGTCCACTTGGGCCTAGAAGAAGATGGTATAGACTAGGTTAGATTGATAGGAACGCCCAAACTCTTGATTATCCCTTCATCTGTTACCAATTCTATAAGAATATCAGCGAGTGTGAACTCAAACTGATTCCTTATTTAGTTCACTCTAACAGAGTCGAACAAGTTTGGTAACAAGGCAATAATCATGTCAACTTGAAACTTACCACCCAAGTCAGCCCTATTGATCTCCAGCTAATTTTAAATAATAAACAATCATTTTCCAAAATTTGATTTCATACTGGAGTTCCTTAGGCTATCTTGATGTTATTCAAGTCTGATATAGTACTTTAGCATACTCTCTATCTAATCTCACCAAAACATCTTATTGACATTTAACATGATGCTTGAAGAAAATAAAATAATGTAAATGTTAGTTTTGGAGCGTATTCGAGGTAAACTCTAGAATGTTGCACCAATTCATCTCATTTGTCTTATTTCACTTATTCAAAGCATTAATGTTCTCTTGGGTATCTTAAAGTAAAATGATTAGGTTTTAGGAGTAGTAAATACATTTGTACCACCACGTTGTGAATAAAATATCTAAATTCCTTTTCTAGTCATTATAAATGAAGTCCACATACATTGAAATTAGCAAGCAGATAAAATGGATTAGACATAATTAGTCTGAATATAAATGCATTCATACAATATGCAAGGTGAATTATTAATACTGTCATGCATATTTAAAATTAAAATGAGTTTGTTTACCACATAATATAATAAATCTCAATCGAACAAGAGATCATTATCATTATTGGTGAACAATCCCTTTTAATTAATGTGGGTCCCTCAACTCTGTAGCATAATAAATCAACCAATCAATATGTCAATAACTTATCCTGTTGGAAGAGTTCATTATTACTATTGTAGAGATTCATTTGCTATTAGGTGAGCACTTCCATTAAAATAATATGTGGGTCCCTTAACCGCTGCATGAAAAATCGGATAACCAATACACCAATAACTTATTCGGTTGGCGAAGTTCATTATTGTTATTGGCGGACAAATCCCATCATCTCCATATTTCTTAAGACAATGTCTTGTCTATCTATATGAAATGATTCCCGATTATGTTTAGCCTTTCTAAAATCACCTAGTGTAGACCACTCCGTTGGGGAGCTAACACTATTGATTTTAGATTGAGTGTATAACGTTATTAAAGTTCTAACGAAAAATAAAACATTAAATATGTTGTCATTATAATCTAGACTCTTTAAATCATGCGTAGGGCCTTATTTTTAAAGATCTAATTATAATGAACATTTAATATTTTTATTTTCATGAGACAACCATTCTTGTAATATTAAGACTTTTCAAATCATGCGTGGGGCCTTATTTTTGAAAATCTAATTACAATAGTATTAATAACGAAGGCCATGGGGTAATGTATAAAAATCCCCGCTCCTACTCAATTTTTTTAATCATTCATAATTAGGGTTTTCATTTTATTCAAATACATGATATGATGCATGCTAAACGTCTTGATTTTAATCCAATTAAATTTAGAAAATATTTGGACTTTAAATGATTCACTAATATTTAATTTGAAGCACACTTTAAAAATAATTTACAAAAATAATTTTTCGTTTCCCAATAAGTGCTCTCAAATTAATTAGTAATCAAATCCAATTAATTTTCATAATTTAATTAATATAAATCAAGTCATTTAATTAAATATCATGGATCCAATGCATGAATAATAATAATAAACAATTAATTATTCCATGCATCAGTTAAATAAATAAATAACAGACAGAAGCAATTTAAATGGTTAATGGATTCAGCTTTTAACATTTATATGCTCTAAGTAATGCGCGAGGGTCTATCATTAGCAGCGTCACATGGGATTATTTCCCATCAATCCCTCTTGATCTCCGGCCAAAACCTTGCCGCCGACAACTCTCCGGTCGCCGGAAAATCGCCGAAAAATTCCAGAAATTAAATTAGGCCTTAAAAAATTCTAGAAAAATTCCGGAAAATTTCTAAAAAATCCCAGAAAATTCCTGAAGCCTAATTTAACCCTCTTGGACCTTCTTGAAGCTTCATAGCATCCTTTGACGAAGATTACATGGCTTTAAAAATATTTACAATTTGAAATACAATGGAAAAAATTAAATTACATCATTGAACTTTCAAACGGCTAAATCAAAGCCTTAATTACATTTATCCAAAGATAAAATTACATTCAATATTCCTCTAAGCTTCATCCATGGCCCAAAACACATATCATCATTCACAATTATACATACATCATCATGTATCAATATATATCAATATATTAATTCATACATCAACATACATCAATAAATAAATATATGCATATCAAAATTGGATCCATGAATCATGAATTTTCATAAAATCATGATCTCTAGTAATGAATCAAACCATGCTCTGATACCACTGTTGGGAAACGTGCAAGTTTTAAAAACTTTTCGAGGGATTTTGATTCATAGATCTTGATTCATCACATAGAGACAAGTTTTATGCAAAAATAAAAATATGATGTATCATTCAATTAATGGATTAAATACTTACATCAAATGTCTGAGTAAACCTTTAAAACTTTCCTCTAAAGTGAATGTTCTCACTTATTGTAGATCCCTTAGCAAAATGCCTTCTACTTGGATCTCCATATTCTTGGTAATTATTTTGCCTTTAGGAATCACTCATAAGCCTCCATAAATTACCTTGGAAAAACTAGGCTTGTGGGAGCCTCCATTAGATGAGAACATAAACCCTAATTTTCTAGAGAGAAAAAATATATATTCCTTTTTCCTTCTACTAAAAATCACACCTAAAATATATATAGACCATGTATATTTATAGGCAACATAAAGGTAAAGAAAAGGAAACAACTAATCCTTCTCAATCTCTAATTCACATGTCTCAAATCTAATATGATTCCAATATCAAGTTGGGCTATGAGTGAGAATCCATTGGGCCTATTATTTTATTGGCTACAATGAATTAATAATTGGCCCGGTCCATGGACCCAATTCAATTAATTCATAAATTAATTTCTACTCCACTAAAAGAAATTAATTGAACTCCAATTAAATAATAAATAACCTCTGAGTCAATATTGCACTTTGACCCCTCTATGCATAATTAGTTATCGGATAAATAAAGCCATCAATCCGACTACTTAATTAATATATTTATTTTGATACATTTGATTATTTCTGGCTCGATCACAATAAAACATTTGTTTGACAAAAATAATAATTTAAAAAAATAAATATATAATAAATCATTTTGTCTAAAAATACACGAAGGCCTTCGAATTTACTTTGTGATCAACCATAATCAATACAAAATAAATACAAGTAGAAATGATGCAAATATTGAAAATATAACTCTCTAACTATTAATTACATAACTACCCAAAGTGTCGGTCTAAGGATCCCGAAGAATCCGCCGAACAAATCAAAGTAATTATTAATTAATAAAAGAGTCTATAATTTTCTCATACTTAAGAGTCAAATGCCATGACGGTGATAGGGAGCAATTGCATACGACGGCTCTCGCAATATATCTCAACCTAACGCGGATCTAGTTCAAATCTTAATTAATTATGAGTCCATCCATAATTACCGACTATGAACCATTTATGATTACTATTTATATATCATGCATTGATTGCCATCACAAACATATATATAAATATCTCTTGTAATCAAATGGACACTATCAATTCTATAATGAATCGAAATATAATATATTGAATTCACCAATTGTATAAAACATAAATATTTCATAAACGTCAGGAACATATGTCACTTTAATCCAAACAGGAATTTGCTATGCCAGGGCATATAAATCCCAACAGAATATTCTTTATATATATATATATATATATTTATTTTTATCAGTCTAAAGTTTTTATTTTTATTTTTTTTAATGAAGTATTCTTATTTACACTTTTTTTTTAATTTATTTTGGTTCTACAGAGTAACAACTTTATGATTTTTTTTTGGTAATTGGATAGTATAATGTTTTTGCTGAAGCATTCTTTATTACTATTATTTTTTTTTTTTTTGGTAATTTATTTTGGTTCATCAGAGTAATAACAAGAAGGATTGGATCAGTGGGCTGCCTGATGAAATTATTGTTTCTATTGTGTCTCTTCTGGGAATTAGGGAAGCGGCACGCACTTGTGTACTCTCCAAAAGATGGGAAAATGTATGGTTGTTCTCATATAATATGGTTCTAAACTTTGACGCTTTAGAAACAATTTTTGATCTTGAATCGAGACGAAAGGTAATGGAAGTAGAAAGATGTAGGTACATAAGTTGGGTGAACAAAGTCTTGGATTTGCATCGTGGTTCAACCATGGATGAGTTTAGAGTTTCTTTTTGTTTGAATGTCTCTTCTAGCTGTGTCATTGATAGATGGATTGAATTTGCAATAGCAAAGAGATTTCAAAGGCTTGAGGTGGATTTGGAACCATGTTACTATATGGAAAAGACCGAAGCATATACTTTTCCAAACCAGAATTTTATTCACATCAAAAGTCCTGCCGGTTTATCCGGCATTAGGTCCCTAAGATCCCTCTGTTTTAAGCGTGTGAACATAAGTGGAGAAATTCTTAAATACTTCCTTTCCAATTGTCCTCTTCTCGAATCTCTACAAGTAGAACTCTTGGAAAATTTAGTGAATTTAAAAGTTTTTGGTTCCTCACTTCGGCTGAAGGTTTTGGAGATATCCAAATAACGCCATTTGAAGGATCTTGAGGTTTGTGCTACGAATCTTGTGTCATTTAAATATTTTGGACCGGGCCAAAATATAAATATGCAAATTAAGGATGCATTCCAGCTTGCTGAGGTGTCTAGTACAGATTTCTATGAGCCAATAGACCGTGGTTTTTTCCGGTTTTCAAGGTACTTTTCGTAGCTCGAGACTCTCTCATAGGGAATTTGTGCAAAAGGTTAGTTTGATATCCCTATTGTAATTGTTATTTAATGTATTCTAAAGCGTTACCATAGTGATTATTGCTTTGTGCTATGTTAAAAACTCGAACCACCAAGTTTTAGAACAATGATACGAGTTTGAGTACAATTACTTTGTACAGCAATAATGCCAAAGCTTAGATCTGGATCTATTCCATTTTCCCAACACCCCACAATACTTTGACTAGCCCTAGTTAAGGACCCTTTTAGTTTTGTTATTTTATAATTAGTTTAGCTTTTCAGGATTATGTATTCCGACAACTTCCAAAATTTACGAAGCTCAAGCACTTGACATTGGAAGTTGAGGCTGATGATCTTGAAAGCCTTCTAGGTTGGACCAACTTGATACATGCATCGCCTTTGCTGAATAAATTTAAATTGCAGGTAAATATTTTATCTATCTATCTATTTATTTATTTGTAGATGCTGTTTTGCATAATGCCAAAGCATAGTTATGTCTCCTGTCTTCCTCTTGTACCAGCGGTTGTGGAACTTGCATTGCATAATTATCTTTATGGTTTACAATTGTTTAGATAGATAAAATTCTAGTTTATATAGTTGTATATCATATTGTATATTAACCTCTGTAAGTTCAAATTTTGTGAATTACAGTGTATTTTATATATTAGTTATCTCCTTAAAAGTTAAGAACAAGATTTCCGTTTCTTAATATCCCTTTTTTCACTCCCAGTTCTTAGACCCCTGTTTAGTACTCTCTTATAGCCCGGTGTACAAAGACGCTTGGGTTTTGGAGTTAAAAAATGAGAAAACACCAAAAACCGCAGGAATGGAAGAGAAAGCGCTAGGATTTGGGTGTTGAAACTTGTATTCTCTTTATTTTCATATGGTGAAATCTTTAGCCGAATCTTCGCCATCGACGTTGGCTTGCAAAAATTCTCAAAATTTAATTTAGCTGTTGTGCCCGTATACCACAAATTCAAAAAATTTAGTTCACAATAATTTCCGAATTCAAAAAAACATCTAAATCATTTGCTATCCCTTAGGAAGCACGAACACGCCAAAATGGGTGAAGAATCTGTGTCCGACACGTGTCGGACACCGACACTAGTCGAACACACCAAAAAATGTGTCTGGAATTTTTATTTATTATTTATTTTCAGACACGATACAGACACTCCGTGACATGCGACCGATACGCCAAAGGTGTGTGTTCGACACGCTTGTCTTATTTTTAGGGGTCTAAAAGATAATTTTTGAAAGAAAATTGGGTTAAAGTATAAATATGGGAAGTTATTTAACAACTTTTACTCACGTATGTGGTCAGTACATAATAATTTTAAACTTGTAATTAAATGATACTTGTTATTATTCTAATGTCTTGTTTTTTATTTGGTTTTATAACTCTGCAACATTGTTCTTTTATAGTTTATTAGTTATGAGTTATGATTTGTGTATTTTTTTCATTGTGACGTTGATGAAAAATAGTAACACTCAGTAATTCTTCAAGTACTACATCATATATATATATATATATATACACACACACTATTCGTCATGTCCCCGCCGTGTCCTAATTTTTTTGAATTTGTTATGTCCGTGTCGTGTCGTATCCGTATTCATACTTTTTAGGCTATCCCCTTTTCTTTATCATTTGAATCAGTTTCATTTTTCTTTCGAGACGCCGAAAGAAGAGACGTCATCGCCCTATCAGATCCAATGCCTTGTCCTTCATCAGAAGCCAATCTCGTTGGTGACGCAAGCAATGAAAGCAACGATGTTAAGCGAAGTACGGAGAAACTGCTTCCAGCAAGCTCGACGTTATGTGGACCTCTTAGGTTTTGAGAGAAATAGAGACAAGGTTTCTGGATTTGATTGGATCACTTCAGGGTACAATGGGTTCAGTTGTTGGGGTTTTGGAGACGCCATTGTTATTCTGGATTCATCAACTCGTCCATCCTTGCCTCCAACACCACCCTCTCTTCCTAAATAATCCCCCCTCTTTAAATCTCCTTTATTTCTCTCTAAATCTATTTCTATATGTGTGCTTTATTCGTGTAGAAAAAATAGGCCAACTGTCCATAAACAATTTTCTGAAAAACAGAGAATAAATTGGGATTAGGATGAGAATAAATGATGGAGAGAGAGAGGACAATACATCTAGTGATGGACCGTGGTCATTGTTTTCAGTCATTATTTGAGCCCATTTAAGTAAAATTCTCAAATCCATTAGTCCATTTGATGGTCCGTCACAACTTGGGATTAGAGAGGTTTACGCTACAAGGATTGTTTCTTAGGGGAGGTCAGAGTAATTTTTGAAATCAAAGGGGAGGTCTGTGTAATTAGGACGGGAGGTTTAGTGTAATTTACGCAAAAAAATACTTTACATGTAAAATGTTTTACGTGGAGAATAACTTAAACCAAAAATGTTTTACTTCAAAATGAAAAAAGTCATGGTGCTAAAACTTTGTTCTAACTTCTATGCAGTTAATTTTGTGTTTTGATGGTATCAAGTCTTACACACTCAGTTGTCTATTTTTAAAACAAGATTTAACCCTTTCTTGTTTCACAGTTATCATATATCATGAGTTCTGTGGAAGTACAAAAACGAATGCGTAAAGCTTGGAAGCGCCCCCATCAATGCCTAAAGGAGGTGGAATTGTAAGGGTTTGTTGGCCGTCTTATTGACCTTGAGCTTACCCAATGCTTGATTAAAAATGCTGTCATGTTGGAGAAGATTGTTATTGATCGTCACTATGTAGGTTCTTCAAGCAGACGAATGCCATGGATGTTCAAGGAAACTGAGAAGAAACAATATGCAAAAGAACGTGCATATGATACAAATAAAGCCCGAGGATTGGCATTCCATTGCTGTCATTTTATATGTATATGGTTACAATTATCTATGCTCCCAATGTGCATATGATGTAACACTAGGCGGGCTGTTAGCTAGTGTGTATCATCTTACGAGAATAGAGTATGGTGTGGATCAACCGTAAGAGGTATGCATAAAAGTATTTGCCCCAAGGAGGAATCCTAGAATTCCGTCTATTTTATGGGTTTGGAAAAGTGTGGATTTTCAAGAACGGGAATCTTATGATATGTTGGGAATCTCTTATGATAATCATCCATGCTTAAAACGTATCTTAATGCCGGAAAGTTGGATAGGGTGGCCTTTACGTAAGGATTATATTTCCCCCAATTTTTATGAAATACAAGATACTCATTGAATGATACGGAACTAATCTTCACTTATATAATTCTATATATTCAAGGATTGTACTTTTTCTTTTGTTCTAGATCAAACAGAGTAATTGAAGTCTCATTTGTATTAGGGATGGGCTAACAAAAATAAAATAAAAGACAATAAAATTAGGGATTCATTGGGATTCTCAAATTTGGAAGATACTTATTTCGGGTGAGCCGAGCCAATAGGATGAACCAAACGAGTTCTGTATCATGAACTTTGTACCGCGCACATCGCCTAGATGGGTTCTAAAAAGTCATGTAGGAATGAATAAAGAACTAGACTATGAAAGAAAATACAAAGAAATGAAAGAGGATCTAATTCTATTTATTTGTACTGTATTTCAACTGAATCTTGTCTATTCCCATCCTTCAACTCTTCTAGACTAGATTTTACAACCAACTAATTTAACCCTTTGAATATGTATATGTGTATGAAGTATTAACGTTTTTTTTTTTGAACGAGAGGATAAATTAAAAAGAAGAGTAAATAAAATCGAATTCTTTCTTTATATAAGAAATTCTTTACTCACCTATAAACTATAAAATACTTTACCCATCTATAAAATATCTATTAAATTGAGGGGTATACCTCACACCTAGATGGATAAAAAAAGTATGTACTGGATTCTGATCTAGACTATTAATATTAATGAATAGATATATATGTCGACCCATATCAATTAATTTGTAGAAACCAGATACTTAGAATCATGTGCCAGGAACCAGATTTGAACTGGTAACACGAGGATTTTCAGTCCTCTGCTCTACCAGCTGAGCTATCCCGACCATTCCTGATGCATCATCCTCATTTTACTAGATGACTTGGGCCTATGTCAATTAAAAAGGGGCGAAAGGATATTACAAAGTCTTATCCAGGCCCTGGAATTTCTTGATCTTCAAAAGGAAGACTTTGTAAGTTTCTGTACTCGTACTGATATGGACCGCGAATTAAATACTTGATTAAAAATGCCGTCATGTTGGAGAAGATTGTTATTGATTGTCACCAAATTCTTCAAGCAGACGAATGCCATGGATGTTCAAGGAAACTGAGGAGAAATAATATGCAAAAGAACGTGTTATGGAGCTCAAAGCGAGTCTACCTGCAGGAATCGAAATGGTTATTGTTTAATAGGATAATTTAAAATTTTTATTTGCAAATTTTTCTAGCCCCGAGAGTTTATTTGTAAACTATTACTAATCAATGTTATATACGTCGTGGCTGGAGAATGGTAGAAGTGGCGATAGAGGCAAAATAGTTGCACAGTAATGCCCCTGCAATTGCTATTTGACATAATTTAAAAGGATAATTTACACAAATCTCCCTTATAATTTGTCATAATTACAGGAACTCCCACTATTTGAAAAATTACTTGGACTTCTCCTAATTAATGCCCCTGCAATTGCTATTTGACATAATTTAAAAGGATAATTTACACTAATCTCCCTTATAATTTGTCATAATTAGGGACTCCCCTTGTTTGAATTCAATGACAAATTATTTTTACTAAAATTTCTAAAACACCTTTCTTTATATAATTTCATATTATAAGTATATATATATACTTGATATTATATAAAATTAAAACCTGTCTAACAATTTGCTGAGAATTAGATAGATAAGAACCATAAAAGTCAAACTCAAACGTAAACACGACCATCTAATCTATCTCAAATAAAAATTAAAGTAATAATTAATTCATCACAACTGACAACTTGCACCCAGAAACCTAAACCCTAAAAAAAAAAACAATTGAGGACCAAACCCATCGTGATCTTAGAAGTTGAAAAACAAAGCTAAAACTTCAAAAACAAGAAATAAACTTATGGTGGTTAGATAGAATTCGGAATTCAGAATTGAACTACCTACACAATTCAATTTTGGGTCTTCCTATACAAGATGAAAAATTATGTGTCGGAACAAAATAGAGAAAGATAGGCAACGCTTACAAGGAATCTTTGCTAATCAAATTATTTTACAAAATCACAATATTCAAGTATATATATGTAAATTTATAAAAAAAATGTAACCCAACTAATCCAATTTCCTATTTTTGCTGATCAAAGTCACCGTCACAGATCGCCGTCGTTGCAGATCTGACCAATGACAAACAAGAAAACGAGGAAGACTGCTTGATCGATGACAAGGAGACAATGAGGAACGAAGTCCTCACAAGCAGAAGAAGAGGAAAAGAGGGACTCCATGGACGGCGGAGATAAGGAGGAGAAGGGATGCTCTGTCGTTGCTATCACAGATCGCCGTCGTCACCGTCACCGTCACCGTCACAGATCGTCGTCGCTGTCACAAATCGCCGTCACCGTCACAGATCGCTATCACAGAAAGGATGCTCTGTCGGCGGTGAGGGACTCCATGGATTCCGGCGACCATGGCCCTCCATCGATTCAGGCCGGTATATATATATTGAGATCCTTTACTCATTGACCAGTGTATATATGACGTCACTCTTATAAAAGGTTTATGGGTAGTTCAGTAATTTCAGATGCCAATGTGAGGGTATATCAGTAATTTTGACAGATTTGTTAGTGTATTTAAAGTGCCATCAAATAAAGGTCCGAGTAATTTTCTAAACCGAAAGGAAGGTCTCTGTAATTATGACAAACTATAAAGAAGGTTTGTGTAAATTACCCAATAGAAAAATAATGTTGATGTAGCATTTGTAGACCATGTGATTGCACGGTCACATTTTGTGTTGCGTTGTGTCGTTTGCGACTGTCGAGGCTCACACAGAATCTTTCAGTCCAAAAATTCAAAAAATGCAAAAATGCACCGAAATATAATTTATAAGAGTTCTAAACTTAAAAGAAATGTCCTAAGTGACCGGAGGAACCCTCATGGCACACTAATTGGTGCATGAAAATAAAATAACTATGAAAAAAAAAAAATGCCAAAAAATGTGAAAAAATGGGAAACTTCTAATATGCATTCCCCAAATTCCTCAATTTTGTCTTTTCTTTGTTTAGGGGCACAGGTTGGTAGAATGAATGGAAAGAAAAGAAAGGAATGGTAATGGATGGAGATAAAAAATTGTATTTGATATAAAATGTTGGAAGAAAATATATATATATATATATATATATATATATTTTGGAGATATAATAAGACATGAATTCATACATAAATAGTAACTTTTGTTTTAATTATAAAGGAAAAAGAAAAGAAAAGAACTAGTATTTTATTTTGTGAGTTACCTGGGTAAAAAGCTTGAACTCAATTGTTATTCCTTTTTTTTTTTTTTTTTTAAATGAAAAAGAAAAAGAAAAAGAAAAAGATAAAGAGAGAGACAGAGAGAGAGAGAGAGAGAAGAAGGTCCTCTTACCATTCACTTTGAATACAAGTCAAGGTCTTTCCAGCACCGGCAATAGCAGCCAAACCCACTTTAACTTCTCTGTTGTGTGGAAAAGAATGGTTGTGTGGTCTTAAATCACATACTTCATCAGGAGATTACCTTTGCCAGCTTGCAAAGGCGCCCCTTAATAGTTTTGTGGGCAGTGCAATGTTGATGACCTCCCTGTTTGTTTGTTTCAAAGTGTATAGAGTTAATTGAGAGCTTCTGAAGAGGGAGGTTAACAGTTTCTTCCAACCATTATTGATCCCGCAGAAAGAGTGAGAGATGGAAACTGGTGTGGATCTATTGGTGGAGAACCTGATGAAGCTACTAAACACCGATGATGAATTGGTTGTGAAGGCTTATGGGGAGAACCGCATCCAGAAGGAGCAAATCCAATGGTTCTACCAGGAGATGCAATTCATGCGGATGTTTCTCAAGGATTCAGAGGACAGATGGAAGGAAGAACGTGAGAAGGAACTGAAAGATGTTGTGGCTAGAATTATAGATGTGACTGGTGAGGTAGATGTCATTGTGGACTCATTCATACTCAGCCCACACTTTCGGAAACATATGGATTTAGCACTCCAGCATCATAGAAGAGAACCTCGTAGAAGCATCCGTAAAGAAATTAGGTATAGAGTTAAGTTGTTTTTGTCCTCAGTAGAAAAGATACTAAAGTCTTACATGCCCATCAAAAATCATCCAAACTGTAGTACTTCATCGCTGGAGCATGGTGTTTTATCTGAATATTTTAAGTCTGTCACTGAAAATATTGTCTGTCTGGCTAACAAAATTTCTGATTTGCTTAAAACTTTGGAAGAAGATCTTCTTTCTTTCTATGGAAACTGCCTAGAGATTAGCGGGATTTTCAGCGGGATTGAGTGTGGCCCTCCTGTGAACAAGTGCCTATTTTTTCGTCGGAAATTCATGAAAGAAATTGTGTCCATTAAGACAAAGAAATTTTACCTATCCTTTCATTCCCAGTCGCACCCTCTTCAGGAATTATCACAACGTCTATCCCAAGTCCTGATGATGGGATCAAGACTCGCATGCCCTGCGTTTTGCAAGCCTAATGACTGCCTTTTCCTCTCCAATATGTTGAAACAGATGGCCTACGAGGCAGGGAGACAGCTTGGTTCCGTTTGTGTTGCCATAAAAGATATAAAGTCTATCAAGACAATGGCGAAGACAATGGCGAAGAAAGGATTGAGTGCCACATGGTTCGATCCTCGCAGTACTGTTGAATTGGGGCCTCTTTTAGATTTGTCTGTGCGAATGGTCGAGCAGGCTGAGAAAATTCGTAGGGGCTATGGCGGTGTCCTGGCAGAAATCAAGTGTATCAAGAGGGAGGTGATGAAAATTAATGACAGCGGGATGAGTATCTCAGGGATCTATGGATCTTTTGCACCTGATAAAGTTAGTTATGTGATAGAAGAGATCAAGTCTATCAAGACACACTTGGTGGAGATTTATGAAAATAAAATGTATGGCACTGGAGTACTCCAAATTGGGGAGTCTTCCGAGAGAGCTTCAACAAGAGCTCCCAGATCCATAGTTGATGAAGAAATCGTAGTGGGTTTTGATGATGAGAAAACAACCGTAGAGAAGCTGCTTGTCGAAGAGCATGAGAGGCAACTAAAAGTCATATCCATTATCGGTATGCCTGGACTCGGTAAGACAACTCTGGCTAAAATAATCTACAATGGTGATTACATAGTAGTGCATGGACCTACGTGTCACAAGCTTATCAAAAGAGAGATCTTTTGAGTAGCATTTTGTGCTCTACTTTCAATTTGAAGGATGAAATTTCTGAATTGAGCGATGAAGAGTTAGGTGAAAAGTTGTACAAACGCTTAAAGGGAAATAAATATCTCATTGTCATGGATGATATATGGGATATTGAAGCCTGGGATGATTTTAGAAAATATTTTCCAGACGACTACAATGGAAGCAGAATTTTGTTCACCAGTCGGGTTTTGGATGTGTCTAGGCATTTTAGATCTCACCCTTTGCGCTTTCTAAATGAAGATGAAAGTTGGGATCTATTTAGTGAGAGGGTATTTCAGAAAGAAAATTGCCCTGCGGAGTTGATGGAAATTGGAAAGCAAATTGCTAAAAAATGTCAAGGAATTGTTGTAATTGCTGGACTTCTCAAAAAAAACGACAAGACATTAGAGTGGCGGAGACATGTTGCTAAAAGTGTTAGTTCATGTATTGTTAGTGACCGAGACCAATACATGGACACACTAGCACTGAGTTACAACCATTTACCTCGTCACCTAAAATCGTGCTTCCTTTATTTCAGTGCATTCCCAGAAGACTAGGAAATCCCGGTGCGGAAGTTGGTTTCGTTATGGATTGCTGAAGGATTTATACGCCAAATTGGACAGAGAATCTTGGAAGATGTGGCAGAGGGTTACTTGATGGATTTAATTGATCGAAGTTTGGTCTTGGTTGTCAGAAGAAAGTCTACAGGTGGAATCAAATCATGTCGTGTCCATGATTTGTTGCATGATTTATGCTTAAAAAAAGCAGTGGAAGAGAATTTTCTGCAACAAATTTGCTGGTATGAAGAAGTTTCGTCTTCTGGTTTCACCGCAGATAAGCAACTTTTCCTACCTATTGCAGCAAAGCAATGCCGCTTGTGTGTCCGTTCTCCCATTTTTGGTGGCATTTCTTCAGAGTTTTCTGCTCAGCACATCCGCTCTTTCTTGTACTTTGGCTCTGAAAAGAATCCAATACGTCCTAAGGATATTTCATTCCTTGAACGAGGCTTCAATCTTCTTAGAGTTTTGGATTTATCAAGCATCAGTATCTCCCAATTTCCCTGCTCAATCGCTCAGCTAGTTCTCCTGAGATACTTGGCGATTAAAGGGAAAGAATTTCATCTGCCGGATAATATATCCGAATTTCAGAACCTAGAAACTCTTATTGTGTCAGGGCAATTGGATTTCTTGCCAATTAGTGTTTGGAAGATGGTAAAGTTGAGGCATTTATGTATTGGAGGGGGAAATCTTATTCCAGATTCACTAGACATGGACATATATTCTCTCGATGGCCTACAAACCATCTCACAGGTATGTCCTTCTAAAGGATGCCAGAAAGTCTTAACAAGGACTCCAAATCTTCGAAAGCTGGTGCTCTGTGGACGTTTTGAGTTGGAGGACAGACCATCTCAACAAGGACTACAAACCATCTCACAGGTATCCTCTGGTTTTTGGTTTCCTGAGCTAGAGTTCCTAGACCACCTTAAAGTATTGAAGTTGTTCAATCGGTTCATTCCTGCCAACCGCACATACAATCTCCAAGGCGTTAAGTTTCCCCCAAATCTTAAAGAGCTTACTTTATCAAAAACTAATTTAGCATGGGAGGAAATGTCAATCATTGGGTCATTACCCAACCTTGAGTCTCTAAATTAGAATTCCAGGCCAGTGTCGGACCACTGTGGGAAACAAGTGATGGAGGGTTTTGTCGGCTCAAATTCTTGAGGTTTTACTACATGAATATTGAGCAATGGAATGCCTCCAGCAATCATTTTCCCGTCCTTGAGCGTTTAGTTTTGCATAGATGTCGTAAACTCAAGAAGATCCCATCTGATTTAGGAATATAGACGCACTACAGATGATTGAGGTAAGCTGTTGTAGCGACTCCATGATATATTCTGCCAAGCAAATTCAGGAATACCAACTGGAGATGGCAAATGAATTCCTGAAGATCCATATAGTCAGTCCCCTGGATTGGGAGCTCACGCAATAAGCTTTGATGAGTGCTGGCATAGGATTTTAGTAAGTAGAACTCATCCAATGATGCTCATTTATGTTTTTCTTTTATCTATTTAACAGTTGAAATGTTATACGACAATATATATATATATATATATGACTCAATGGGAACCATCACATTGTATTGATATTTATTGATCTTTTCTTCTTCTTCTTTTAATTATTATTGAATTAGTTAAATACTTGTAATGTAATCAAATTATAGATGCAACCTAATCTTGGAATGCGCAATGAGGCAAGGTTGGCCAATTGGCCGAAAGAACCAGATTGAACACAAGACAAGAACCATACCGATTCTTCACTTTGGGATCAGAAATGATGATATTATTTTCTTTTTCTTTTTCTAGATTTGTTGGGATTCCAAATACTGATTAATTACTCAAAAATTAAAAGAGCACTTCATTGTAAGCCTCGTATCTACACTAAAATTTTCCATATACATGATATGATTTAAGGGTAAATTGACACAACACTAATAACTAGCAAGCACGAGGCAATCATTTGACAGGCTGTATATTTGTACCTCAGGTTCAAGGCATCAGAATTCATTTTGAAGTAGGTGTTAATCCAAACTGAAGCAGTACAGTTTTCAGTTTCATTTGTTGGAATTCAAAACAGATTCTCCATTTTACAGTGTATGGGATGTTCCAAAGAAGTCTAGTTTCTGTATCTGTATCACAAGTTCCGAAATGTAAGTACTTCGAAATTGACATTTGCTTTTTGGGACAATTTTGCTGGCAACATTTTGTTGAAAATTAATACTCTGCATGATATAAGTGGACAGTTAACAGATGTCAGAACTGTATTTTTTATCCCATGTACAAATTATTGCTGCAATTGCTTTAGAACTTTAGAACTAAAATGACCAAATAAATTTATGCTTCTTATTGAACACTTCTTTGTATGATTAATTTGTTGGATCATTGGTTATAATTTGTTGGATGATTTCTGTTCATATTGTTGCAATTGTTGGATCATTGGCAGTAAACTCTGATTTGACTGTAATACATCTAACAACTGTAGTAACGGCCACTTAAAAGTTTATTAATCTTGATAGTGTAAACATTTAATTCCTTAGAAACTCAAATCCAATGCAAGTTGAAGGGAAAAGAACATAGTTCCTGGCTTTCAACACAAAAGACTGAATGTTACTACTTCATAAATATCTGCTATTTAAATGTAACAACACAAAAGACTTCACCTATAGGAGACAACAGATAAGTATTGGCTTACCTGAACAGCTGCATAATCAATTTTAGCACTTTCATTGAAGAGCAATGAATAAGAAGAAATTCAATCAAAATTTTCATTAAAATCAACTTTTGCTGTGAAAAATTCTCTTCCTCAAAATCTCAAAGGTGACGTTGCAAAATCAATTGTTGTAAACAAAAAGGGGAGTCTTGCCTTAAACTAAGAAATGTTGACATTCAGGTGGACGCTGAGATTGAAGGAAAACTTTCAAGACAAAAGCATATAATCTTGGTTTTCACAGGACATTTTGTATTGGGATAGATATTAGATATTTGGAGATGTAAGTTAGGTAGGTGTATGTTTTTATTACAAGTAGATCAAAACTTTTCTATTGTCCAAGTAAAAATTTTATTACCAAAAAAAATAATAATAATAAAAAATCATGAAGGATGTTATACGCTATCAACTAAAAAAGCGTCAAAGCATAACAGAGAAAAACCTAGGAAGAAAGGTCACACTAACACCCTATGATTGGCTAGGAAAATAAATGATACAAACTCTTACTTCTCAGGATATATAAGAAATAACAAACACGTTCAGGATAGTAGGTTTACATAATCTAACTGAATGCCTTGTCTTGGTAGAGAGACAAGGAAGAAGAGAAATCCCTTCTTGGGGAGCATCCGAAGCTTGGGGCCCTTCTTCGAGTTCCTCAACAAACTCAACTGCAATAGAAAGAGAGAGATGGTGTAATTTTCATTAATATATTCTCATCAACTGCATTTCTCACTTTGGTGCAGGGAGATGGTGCAACTAATAAAGAGATGAAGCTGGTCTGCATGGACATCTCTGGATCCACATATCTGGACTTATGTTATCATTTTTATCCTTGTTGCAACAGCTAGGTGTTCTGGCTTCTAGTTGTTCCTGTTGTTTTTGTACTTACTGTTTCCGAAAATGTTTATTACAAGATTTGAACTTATTATCTTTGTTTTTGTACTTGCTGCTTATTGTCTGGGAACAATGCTATTATGTGGTTTGTAATTTACTTATCCTGGGGAATAATACTATATACTACAAGGTTTTGAGACGTATATATGGGAAGTGGCTGCTTTTCAATTCAAACTTGTGATATCGTGCTTATTAATCCAAGCTTTTACCACCGCCTTAAACAATGATATAATTCCTTTGACATAATTCCGTTGGCATATAGTCTCTTTGATGTCTTCAATAAGGATGCTTGCAAGCTCTGAAGTGGGAGATAGATTCGTCACATTTGAGCAATCTCCTTGGATGTCAACTGAGGAATATCCCATTGAGAGAGTGTTGACACCCTTTTTGGGCAGTGACTGGCAAAGGTTGGATTTGGCAGTGATGGCATGACAGTGGGTGTTCTAATGGTGAAGGAGTTCAAAGCGGTGATGGACAATGAGTTATTTGATGTTTGTACTTTTTAGTGGTTTTGTGGAGTCTAATTACTTGAAAGATTTTTAGGAAGATTTAATTATATGGAAACTTCAGTTTCTTGATGTGTTTTAACTTTCTTATTGGTTTTGGACTCTACAAAAGGCAATTTCTTGTAGGACAAGTTTTTTTTGGGTTTATGTATATATCAACTCCAATAAGATTTTAGGGTGTGAAGAAAAGTGAGAAAAAAAAAAAAAAAAAGGAGATGATCATCATAGGTGTTGTATGATTGATTAATTTATGCCAACACAAGAGAGAGCAATTGAGAGGGATTGATTGAAAATTCTCCATTGTAATTCTTTATATTTTTCATAGCGGAATTTGTTTGGTGCGCTTCATGGACGTAGCCCTAAGATTTGGGTGAACCATGTAGACCGGGCAAGTTGAGTTTTATCGGACCAACACTTCATTGAGAATTACGTACTGTCTGAGAAAATCAGCCATTTTACATTGACCCAAACAGAGCCTAAGATAATGAAGCAAAACCATCTCTCCTCTCAAATGTTGAGTGTCAACGACAATATTGTATTTGTATATTCTCTCTAATGTTGAGTGTTCAATAATGTTGAGCGTTCAATGAGAATATTGTGGTTGTATGATCATTTGCTTGCTTTAACTAATTGTTGCAAAATCTTTTTCATGTAAAACCTTTTACACATAAACATATTTTTTCTTTTCATGTAGCCTTATCGTATGATAAAGGTCATACAGAGTGTGAATCATGACTTAATTTTTACAAATCCTAATTTACGAACATAAACATCCTGTGTTACTATGATTCTACCAATATTAACAAATAATGATGAATATAAAGAACAACAGAAATCCATGTCAAGGGCAAAACTCAAACTGTTGCACTGACAAACACCTCATAAAACCACAATTCAAACCAAAGCTCCTCAATTCCCATTACCATGCCATACTACTCTCAAATATACGAAAGGCTTTATAGATTAACAAGAACATAAGAGACCAAATAACCAAACCCTAGACTCTATCATAAGAAAAACCAACTTGGTTTATGAAAGGCTTAATAGATTGACAAGAACATGAGAGACCAAACAACCAAACCCTAGACTCTATCACAAGGAAAACCAACTTGGTTTTAGATTTTACAGATTTATAGGAAAGTAATAAGAATCCAAGAATCCAGTTACGCATAGCTAGGAAAGTTAAGAGGATCCAGTAGCAAACACCACCCTGCCGCCTCTTAGTTCCTATCCTGTGTGGATCAATCTGCAAAATTGTTGATGAACATATGTTTAGTCAACTGAAAATTGGTGAAGACAATAAGAAGGGAAAAAGAGTTTTGAGAAAGTCGTAAATATGACTCGAGCAGTGAGAAGGAATAAAATGGCATAATTGACAATTTGTTTGCCTTAAAATCTACTGCTAGATACAAGTTTAAGTAAAGATAAGTGATAGATCTTCCGACTTTAATTGCCGACTACTCCTCCGAATATAACGTGGTTGGGAATGAGTTGAAGAGAAAGAGAAGTTTACGGGAATTTTTTTAAGAGTTTCAATGAGATCCAATTACGTTGTATTCAGAGGAAGAGTCCATAATTAACGTCGGAAGACCTATCATTTTTTTTAAGAAAAAGTGAAAAGATTTAAGGAGCAACTATGTTGAATGAATCCACTTCGGATATGGCCCAACGGTTTCCTCGCTGGACCTTGGAGTTTAACAAGTCCAAGGTCTGAGGTTCGAGTCCCGCTGGGTGTTCTTTGTGGTTAGCCTCCGCTCCCCCTACAATAATTTACCCGACCTGAATGGGGAGGTGCCCTTCTGGGTCCTCGGAAATTAATCGTGTTGTTGAAGGGCCCTAAGAGTTCGTGTCATTCCGAACACCCCAGTTAATAAAAAAAAAAAACTATGTTGAACGAAATTCAAAAAAAATAAAATAAAATAAAAAAACAAAAATGTTGAATGAAGGTTATTAATTCATCACATTAACACAAAAAATAAAACGAACAACCATGCTAAATGGTCCACCTACACATGAACAGAAATGTAACGCCCAGCTCCTCATGGATCTGAATCATTAAACGGGTCCTCACTTGAGCCAAAGACATCGAAGGGTAACACGGTCATTTCACGTTAAATTGAAGTATCATGGTCCAAAAGGACAAGATGGTAATTTACCATAATTCAATAAATTGAGACCCAAAGGGGTATGACAATCATTGCTTGCATCTAAAAAAAAGGTCCGGGACAAAATAGTCCTTCCGGTGGTTAAAATACAATTATTCCATTTTATTGGGTCATAAAATAATTACGTGCAACTTCAAATGGATGCCACAGTCTAATTTGAGAATTTAAAATAGTAATTACATACAAAAGACAGAACCGGTCGACGTATATACACTATACGTCGACTGGTTTGGGCTATGACCAGTGGGAAAACCCACTGCCGAGTTACCGATCGACGTATGGGATGCCATACGTCGACTGGTTTGGGATGTGATACCGGTCGACGTATGGGAAGCCATACGTCGATTGGTTTGGAACGTGTACAAGATTACCACACTGTAAGATACCGGTCGACGTATGGGGAGCCATACGTCGACTGGTTTGGGTCATTCGCGTTAAAAATGCTTACTGTCAGGATACCGGTGGACGTATGGATGCCACACGTCGACTGGTTTGGGTTATCCAGACTCGGTTGCCACTGTCCAAAGAAAAACCAAACACTTGATGCTCAACCACCCACGCCATTATACTTACGTGCATGAATTAAAATATACTTCAACATCAAATTGTAATAACAACCACCAAGTTGATAACGTAGTTTGCAACACGTTATATGATATACGGGAATTAACATGAGACGAATTTAATTACATTACCCCAAATGGGCCATATACATGATAAATCCAAATACTTCACATATTGCAAAAATAATGCATTTTGTGTCATACACTTTACATGAATAAGTCAAGTCCCACAAAATACATTCAAAAATGCCTTTATGTTCCCTTAGCTCTGTGGTGGATTATCATCCGCCAATTTCTTGCCATAACCTGAAAAATATAATATATAGTGGGGTGAGCAAATTGCTCAGTAGGTGGCGCCTAAGACGCACCTAATGAGACCCCGTGAATCCAAAACAAAGAATAAGCCAATAGGAGTTGGGATCATTCAACATAGGAAAAGAAAAAAAATACAACATGGTTATCATTCTCAACACAAATAATAAGATGCAATGGAGATGCAATGCATGCTGATGCCACTCCCCATTTTCACAATCAGAATCATCGCCTTCAAATTGTTAATACAGCCCGCCCTTTGGTGACCCCACAGCGACACGAGAGGAGGATTGGCTAGTGTCCCTGACCCTTGGTAACCCCGCGGCGTCATTATGGGGCCCAGCTAGCTCAACCACGCTAGGACGACTCCCTAGTCCCCTCTAGGCTATATTAACCTCCGGCCCTTTGGTACCCCCGCGGCGACCTGGTTTTTCCAAAACACTTTTATCAAACTTTCTTTCCCAAAACTCCCCATTTTCATTTCAAAAACGATTTCTTTCCTTCATGGAACCCAATGGTGTACTTGCATGTCTCATGATCTCAATACTATGAAAATGAGGAATTTAACACAGCACAAGTAAGCATGTTCTCATGCTTCTAATATTTAAACCATAATTGGATTATTACAAAATACAATAGGGCACACTTTCATACACCAATATTCATAGCATGTGAACAATACAATAGTCATAACTCACAATATAAGCATGCTTTTCAAATAGTGCAATCAAAACAAGTCTTCACATATTCACATATAAACATTCAAGACATTTTTAGGCAACAATTAACATAAATAAGCATGCTATAACACAATTCAAGTAAATTAATTCACAAGGGTGCATGAATAATGTGAATTAGGAAGCCCCTACCTCAAATTGACACAAAACCCTTAAAATGGGTCAAGGAATTCGAAAATCAAGGAGGGCACCAAATATGAGATTGCTCGTATGAATGCGTAGAGCTCGTCGTGCTCTTCGTTTGGCCTTAAATGGCTCTCAATTTCTCCAACCATTGAGTGAGTTATCTTGTTTCTAAGATTGGAAACCAAAATGAAAAAGAAAAACAAGGAGCAAGAGGGAGAGAGAGAGAAACGCACGGGAAAGAGAGAAGTAAGAGACCAAAAAGATGGTCTCTAACTCAAATTTGGGATGGTGGTGGGTCCCGCCACTATTTCTTTTCTTTTTCCTTTTTCTTTTTTTACTTTAATTCCACACCACATACACACACGAGTGCACCACATGCAAAAACTACTCAATCCACATAATTTAAAATGTACACAATGCAAATGGACCCAACCACAATCTCGTACACATAACGTGAAAAGACGAAAATGCCCTTGCGGCGACAAAATTCTGAAAAAAATTAAAAATGATGAAAATCGGAAACGTTACAAGAAACTATTAATCTTGATAATTCACTTATACAGTAACTTAAACGTAAAAGTTTTTTTCATGGACCTGAAAGTTTTCTGAAACAGAAAGTCATGCATATCTAAACTACTTCAACAATCACAAGATATATCTAACCTTTTTTCAGGCTAAGTTGCAAATT